TATATATATATATATACATTTATATATACATTTATATTGGTATGCATTTTTATGCACTATATCGTGGGACTTTTCATGCATATCGTCCTAGACTTATATCTGAAAACAAGACATCCCTTTCGCACGTTCGTGTTTATCAGGAATATGTAGCTATCTGTGACACTTTGTCACGAACGTACGATTACTGTCCGATAAATATATATATTTTATATGCTTGTCCAGGCCCACTTCATTAAGATCCATAGAAAGCTCATTTGGCATTTGCTGTACCGTATACTTCTTTATCTGTTGGCAGCGAGTGCGTAATCTGTAGCAGCCATGGTGTCTCGTAAGAAGAAACTGAAGAACCAGGACTTTGCCAAAGTCAAGCTCAAAGTGGGCAAGTCCAATGAGGCGGCGAATGCCACAGACACCACTTTCAAATCAAGGGCAATTGTTCTGTCGGGCCAGGCGCTGGGCGAGGATAAAGGAGTTGGTACGAACCAGGTAGGTGCTACGGTACACTACGCCTGGTGTTACTATTGTGTGGTTGGACTATGCGTGTTTCAGGCTGACTTGTGTGAAGGAGTTGCTATACATAGCAAGTAGTGGTGCAATACACTCCGGACCGGGGAATGGAGAGCGTGATTGTTGCCATGACAACGTCGGTATATTTGTGTATAGCCTGGCGTGGGCCTATAGAGGGTAGTGGGTGTAACCTAGTATATGGCTCTTGTGCAGTACTTAGACACTGAGCCAGTCTGTTCAGGGGGAAGTCCCCTCGAACACAGTCATTGGTATAGCCGACCCTTTGAAGGGCAAGCGTAAAGCGTTTTCAACGCTACACCAACTGGTTCTGCAAGTAGGTTCTGCTAGTAGTAGCCGCTGTCAAATCTCATACACCTTCCTGTATCAAGTTTTCCGGGTGTGGTGTGGTGTTAACTTTCATGTACTCGGTTGTACTTCGTCGTGGGAAATGTCGAGTATCATCAGTAACCAACCCACACCCTGTTCACTGTTCATTGGGTGGGCCCTTTGAAGCGTTGTACTATGGAGTGGCGAGTTAACGGATTCCATACCCTGATAGCCATCGGGGTCAGCTGAGTGTGTGTTATATGATGACCACTGTCGTTACACCACTCTGATTCTACTCGCGCCGGCGTTTCCCGTCTCTATTCTATTTAGAAGGGGTCGTCTGATCTTATAATACCCATACAGAGGTTTTCACTGTTCATTATTTTCATCCACGCGTTTTGATATTTTATCTACAGTTTAACATATCAAAATCACTACTTTATGATATATTATCCACTGTTCGTTATATTTCTCCACTCTTTATTATATGCTATACCCTGTTTTCTTATATTTTGTGCACTGTTTATCATATGCATTCACCGTGTATATATTTTATCCACTCTTTATTATATTATATTCACTGTTATATTTTATCCACTTTTTTTACGTATTATGCACTGTTCATCATACCTTACCCACAATCCATCATATCTTATCCACTATAATATATTTCATTGACCTTTTATTATGTCATATTCCCTTGTCATAATAACTTCTTGGCTCACACCGGTTGCTACTTGTCTTGTCTTCTCCAGAGAAACCTCTCACTGAAAGAGCTTCTCGGTCAATTGCGTCATTACAATGGCAATGTGCGCAAGGACGCTGTGGCTGGAATGAAAGATTTGTTTCAGAGGTAGGGGCGTGTGCATGAGTGTGTGCAAATGTACATGTCAGGCTGCATGCGTAGTATATGTACGTGCACATGTATACACGCGTATGCACATATCTGGTCACTACGTTTCTTGGTCGAATCGTCAGTGGTGTAACATGCTGGTCCGCTCGACACAGCACATCCTCAGAGGCATATCTCAGATCTGTATACTAGTATCTCAGTGGCCGTTCACTTCACATAAACCTGGGTTTACCGGACCTCAACGAGATATCCTTAATTCTTCACAGGCATCCGGATATACTGCCCTCAGAATTGGCCATAATCATTGAGAAAATATCGCCGCTGGTGTTGGACGGTGATAGTTCGGTGCGACAGGCTCTGCAATCACTCTTTACTCATATATTACAATCCATGCCTACGGAGGTAGGTAGTCTGCCGAACTGTGTGCAAGTTTGTAATTTTACATATGTTTATGTATGTTTGCGTATATATATATATATATATATCTCTCTCTCTCTCTCTACTACTATTTATATATA